CTCCCCAAAACCCCAAAACCCCAAAACCCCAGGTGAGAAGAAGCACTTGAATAATTGTTATAATTCAAAAATTAATTCAGAATGAATTTATGATTGGCCTATAGCTTGTGAAGAAAGTTGGCGTATAGTGAGAGATTCCATCTCAAAAGAATCAGTGCGTGGTCATTTCACAAATTCCAGACTATTGGCTCTACTTTTAGGATTTTTCCAAAATATTTTGAACTCTTTTGGCAGGAAGGAGTCGGTGTAGCCAAATTTGCCCAGGTAGTTTTCAGTTCTGACTAGGTTTTCCTCGTTATTATTTTGTCTGACCCAAAGACAGCTTTTAAGAGTCCAGTCTTTTCTCTCTTTCATTTGTATTTCTAATAATGTTCTTCCTGCTTGAAGATGAATGATGTCAAATTCTGAAAGTAAAAGAGGATGTTGGAGACACACAAGAGTTCCAAATTTAGAATTGTTGTCTTTTATAACCAGCTCATTTTCATCCGTAACTTCTATTGTGGCATGGAGCCTTGAAACACTAATATCAGACACTCTGATATCAGTATCATGACCTCTTCCAATTTTGAAAGTTTTATTTTCTTGATCAAGGTTTACAACATAGATGCTTTTTGCTGAAGAAGAAGATATGCTCTCTAGAATCATGTAGTTGGAATAGGGTTTATCGTATGAAACTAGGCTGTATTGGGTCTTTGTCATTTCGGGAAGAGGAGTCTTGCACAATTCTCACTCAAGACTCTTCCAATGGTATGAAACTGCTTTACCAGTCACTTTGATAGTCCTCTTACTCTCTTGCCAGCTATTTTAATCAATTATGATGAATATATTTCAGTGAACCTGATCATTTTCATGGTGAAATGAGAGGGTTAAGCTCATCTTGGGAGTTAAAACAAATTCTACAGGATGGATCATCTGATAAATCTTCCTCAGCAACGAAAAAGTTTTCAGGTATGTATAAGCCTGAGTCAGAGTCCTCACCTTTGATCCGAGTGTCGGTGTCATATGCATTATCACCAGTCGATATCTCTTTGACTCTGAGTCTTGCTCTGCCAAATTTCAAAATATCTCCTTTCTTGAGTTTGTAGCCGAGTGAAGATGCTGAATTTCTGAAGTCTCTAACTGAATACCAGATTACCTTCTCTGGCTGAGAGATGAAGTCATCTCTCTTGTCATAAAAAGCCTTGTGATATATCCAATATTGTCCTTCAGTGTATAAAATTTGAACTATTGGGTCAGGATTGGATTCTTGATCATCAGGTTCATTTATCAATGAAGGATTAGCCATTTTAACCATCTCTTTAGGGATGATCTTGGATTCCTCACAGATATCATTGATGTTATGCTCGGTTTTGGACAGACCAGCCTGAGAGTTATCACTTAAGAGTCTATCTTTTCTCAATATGCGAGAATAAGAGTACTCTAGAAATTGAAGATCGTCTACATTTCTATAAATTTGAGCGGTGCCAGCTAATCTGAGAGTTTTCTTGATAACATCATTAGTCTCATAATCAAATAGGCCATGTGAGTCTCTTTTCCATGTCTCAGTTTCGATGACTATGGGCTTTATCCCAGAATGGTTGCCTGTGTTGTCTTCATAATTAGTATTAGTTCAGCAAATAGCTCCCATAATTATTCAATTTATTATTATTGCTTGGGGTTTTGGGGTTTTGGGGTTTTGGGGTTTTGGGG